CCCCCCGAACCCCCACCCCCCACCCCAGGGCCTTCTCGCTGGCTGTTCCCCGGGCCTGCTGCATGCCTCCCGAGATCCCCACAGCCCAATGGCCACGTGTGCTGGGCAGACAGCCCCGCCCCACCGCCCAGTTCAGTCCATGCCCTGAGGACTCTGTCCCTCTCCCCTGCTGTGTTTTCTGCACGGCCTCTGTCCCCAGCTGACGTGACACTCTTTGCTGTTTGCTGTGGGTCTCCTCCCCTAGAGCTGTGCTTCCAGCCTAGGGTGACGTCCCTCTTGGGACACTGGGCAAGTGGTAGCATCTGTGGTTGTCACAGCTGGGTGGGGGACACATGGCGTGGGTGGAGGCCAGGAATGCTCAGCACCCCTCAGGGCCCAGGACACCCCGCAGCAGAGAATGGTCCAGCCCCAGGGCTGATAGTGCCCAGTTTGGGAAAAGCTTCCCCAGAGCATCAGCCACAGGTGGACGAGGGCTCCAAGAGCCGCTGGAATCCGTGGCTCAGAAACACAGGGTCCCTGGAGAGCTCAGGCACATGGCCCTCCACAGTCAGGTGCGGCTGCCCGGCCCCCGAGAGGGAAGTGTTCTGCTCTGTGACCCAGGGGTGGGGGGTCAGGAGAGGCCCCAGGGAGGAGCCCCAGGGAGGAGCCCCAGGGAGGAGCCCCAGGGAGGAGGCCCAGGGAGGAGCCCCAGGGAGGAGGCCCAGGGAGGAGCCCCAGGGAGGAGGCCCAGGGAGGAGGCCCAGGGAGGAGGCCCAGGGAGGAGCCACGAGGGGAGCTGCCAGGCCACGCAGTGACCCTTCGTTTGTGAGGACCCACAGTGCCTGCACTCGCTCCTCCCACAGCATCTAATCTTCGTGCCCCCCGTCACTGGAGAGACCCCAGGTGCTGTGCAGCCTGAGGACAGATGCAGAGCAGGGCCTGGCCCTCTGTCCGCTCCGTCTCTCAGCCTCCGAGGGGATGGAGGTTCCAGCAGTGACAGCGGGGAAGGCCCTTGGGGAGGGTGTGGTCCAGGAGGAAGCAGCAGGGACTGCGCTGACCTGAGAGGAGCTAGAGAAGCTCCCAGAGCAGCAGCCGCCGCTGCACTGGCACTGGCACAGCTAACTCAGCAGGAAGGGACACAGGACATCTGCCAGCCTGGGCTGCAGGCCTCGGCCTCCTTTCGCACCCCCGTACTGACCGCCTCTGGGTGCAGAGAGCCTGGAGCAGGTCGGGGAGGCGTGCTTGCAGCCTGGCAGATGAGACCGTCCCTAGACTGTGGCCGGGGTGGGAGCAGCACCCAGGAGAACTTCCAGATCTGAGCTCCAGGCGCGGCTCGGGCCACAGTGCGTCACTGGCTGCGTGGCTGGCCGGCCCACGCTGGGTATGGGCAGGGCATGCTCCACTCGGGAAGCTTTGAAGCCTTTCTAGGGCAGGCCGGCAGCTGCATTATTGATGGCTGTTCTGGAAAATTTACACGCTGAGCTACAGGGAAGTGAGCGAAAGCCCCGGGGATGGCCCACTGCGGTTTTCCTCCCGCCTCTTGAACTTGGAAATGGCCAAATCACTTTTTAATGAATTCATTGCGGCTCCACTGCTGATGGTGTGGCTGGCTCCAGAGACCTCTGCCATATTCCCTGCAGCTGGTGGAAGCAGGAAGGGTGGTGGCCCCCACCCAGGATGCAGGCAGGTGTCCAACAGGGCAAACCAGCCCGTCCAGGGCTCCCGCTGCCAGCCCGGACACCTCCATCGAGGGTTATACGGGAAGCAGAGGCTGCACGCGTCAGCCATGGAGAGGGAACGCTGGTCCAGAGCTGAGTCCTGGGTCATCTGTTTGTCCCATGAGGCCTGGGGCACAGTAGCTGGCCTCCGGAGCATACATAACCCCTGACCTTGAGGAGTCCCGGGCCTTCATCTTCTGCAAAGTGGGAGGGCACCATGCCCCTGGGCCACACAGGCCCGTGGAAGGCTACACATGGTCCATGCACACAGCAAGGTTGGTTGGGGCGCTGGGAGGAGGCACCCGACACCCCTGAGAGCAGGTCCCTGCCCTGTGGTTAACATGGGGCTCCCCTCACCTGCCTCACAGGAGTGAAATGCACTTGAGGGAAAAGCACACAGCCCGGTGTGAGCCTTTTAGATAAAGACATGGAAACATCCAGCCAAGCCAGCCCAGGCCCGCTATATACAGACCAGCCACGTCTGCCAGGCGGCCTGTCTGCGGGAGCACCCATGGTCACCTCGTAGGCACATGCCTGGGTCCTGCCCACCACCCTCTCGTGGGGGGCAGGCAGAGACAGTGATGGGGTCAGGAGCCTGACCCCGCCTCCCCAGTGCTCCCAGGGGTGCCACGCTGACCCTGCCTGTGCTTTAGAAGTCCCGCCAACTGGAAGGCCACTGGCTGCTTCTGGGGGTCCCCATGGAGAGTTCTTCCTTCTTGTGGGTCTAGCTTCCTGCCCCACCCAGCCAGGAGACACCCCTGCCCTGCCTCCCAAAATCAAGACCAAGCTGCCCTCTAGTGGCAGTTGGCTGCACACACACAGACACAACAAGCATGCACATCCATGCCCGTGTGGGTTTCTATGCATGCAGACGTGCACACATACGGGGGTATAAACACACACATGCCCACACAGGCATGCACACACATGCACAAACATGCATACACAGGCATGCACACGTGCACATAAACATGCACATAAATAGAATACACACATGCACAAATTACACACACACCCAAACAGGCATGCACACATGCACAAACACGCTTACACACATACCCACACATATGCACACATATGCACAAACATGATACATGCATACACAGGCATGCACCCACATGCACAAACATGCATACACACACATGCCCATACAGGCATGCACACACACATACACGTGCACACACATGCACACACTGTACACATCTGTTATTTTCAACATATAGAAAAGAATGCATTTCTTTTCTGTACACTGAAAGCACAGCAGCCAGGCTGGCCTTCATGAGCTGGCTGTGATTCAATAGCAGAAGCAATGAAGACTTGGAGAATGGTGTCACGCTGCAAGCCTGTGACCGCGGTTTCTCTAGGGGTGAGGGGGTGACGTTCTTCTCTGGTCGGATCCCTCCCTCTCCCCTGCCTGGTGTCAATCGCCTGCTTTCCAGTATGGTCCTTCTGGTGGTGCCATGCCAGGTGGCCACAGCCAAATACGCACGTAGCTGAGAGCAGCTCGAGGGCCCCACTTTGCAGGACAGGGGTGGCCGAGGGGTCCGGTGTAGGAAGGCAGTGGGGCACCGCCTGAGGGGGACGTCGTGCCGGGGAAAGAGGCTGCTGAGAGTCCCCAGCAGCTTTGATGTCCAAATCCATCCTGGGAGGGGGAAGAAAATCAGATTTGTAAAAAACGAGAGAAACTTGGGTGAGAAATGAAGGAAGTGTCCACGGTGAGGCTCCCTGCTGCACGGTCAGAAAAGTCAGACGACCATTGGGGGGACATAACACATGTGAAAGTGCGACCCAGCAGCGAGCTGTGGGTGAGGAGCAGGCTGCGAGCTGGGCTGGAGGGAATCCCGTGGGAAAGGGACATCTGGGGGCTGGGGGGCTTGATTGAAGATAAAGCCACAGAGGGGGTGAGCAGCCATGACATACGGAGTGCTGTGGCCACGTGAAGGGTTTGGGTGTGTGCTGGGAGCTTTCGCTGTGTAACAAAAGATCCCAAAACTTTGCAGCCTAAAACAACCACCATTTATTTCTATTTATTTAGTTCACAAATACACAAATTGGCAATTTGGGCTAGGCTCAGCTGGAAAACCCTTCCAGCCTTGGCTGGGCTCATTCATCCATCTCTCATCAGCTGCCGGCTTGGCTTGGGGTTGGCTGGTCTTGGAGGGAAGGAGAAACGGATAGAAAAACAGGGATGGAAATGTAGAAAGAGGGAGGGAGGAATGGTGGCTGGATGGGTGGGTGGGTGGATAGATGAATGGATGGGTGAGTACAGGGATAGATGGGTGGGTGGCTAGACGGATGGGTGATGGATGGAAAGAGAAAAGGTTAGTGACCATCTGCTATTTTTAATTCCTTATGGAGCCAGTTTATGAACCTGAGCACATTTCACTGAATCACACTTCTAGGAACTTTTCCATTACCCTCTTAGAGAAGCAAGACTCAGGATTGTTAGTCACTTGGAGGGCGTTTCACAGGGTCCCTTTTTGCTTTGGTCCGCAGAATACCCCTCCCCTAATGGTGCTGGTGAGAGGCGGGCTGTGGTCCCAGCAGGGAGCTGCCCACAAGCTTGTCCTCGGCTGTCACCTCAGAAGTTCACGGCCTCTTGGTCAGAACAGAGATGTGGAAAAGCCACCTCTGCCAACTCAGGGATTTCAGCACTGATGGACACCCAGCAAGGGCCCTGTGGAGAAGGGCCATGACTCCTTCAATGTCTAATAAAATGCACTCATCCCGCCAAGCTTCATTTGCCCTTTAAAGCTCACACCTGCACCAGCACGGTCAGCTGCCCCGTGACTGCATTTTCCAGCAGAAAGCATGCCTGCATCTCCACACCTGCAAACAGGGGAGAGGGTTTGTCTTCTCTTCCCATTTTAATTTCTGAGCTGGATGAGGTAAACACCCAGGAAGCAAAGTCCCTCCTGACCCGTGTCTGCGAGGCGTCCGTCTCTTTGCAAACTGTCCCTGCTTGGTTTTCCAGACCGAATGCAACCCCAGTGCCCTCTGGGCGCCCCTGTCCTCCTCCCTCCTATGTTGGCACCAAACATGATCTACCCCCATCAAGGCAGGGCCACTGAGATGAAAACAAGCAGACCTCTTCCTGCCGCAGCTTCACCCATGGCGAGGAGAGGAGGAAGTTACTCCGATAGGCAGAGCCAGCCGGCAGGCTTGGCGAGGGCCCTGCACCCAGCATACGGCCCTGATGAGCGAGAACGCCGCTCCTGTGAAAAGATTTCTTTTCTTAAGTGCCCTGTCAACTACAGCCCAAACTGATTCTCGCTTCTTTCTCAACCGGTGTCTCCCTTCCAGAAAGTTCAGCAGTATACAGTCATCGTTCAGGCCACAGACATGGAAGGAAATCTCAACTACGGCCTCTCGAACACAGCCACAGCCATCATCACGGTCACGGACGTGAATGACAACCCGCCAGAATTCACCACCAGCACGGTGAGTGCCTCGAAGCTGCCCGGCGACGCCTGGCCCGTGCAGGGCAGGAATGCACTGGCACGTGGCGCAGCCCCCGCTCTCTGCGGCTCTGACGGGCATTGGGCAGGTAGTGCGTAAGGCAGGCCCTGGCAGCAGGGGCAGCTGTGTGGAGCAGCTCCACTCCTGGTGCGCGCAGTGGGACAGAGGCTGGGCCTCCGCCAGGGAGGGGGCCTGTGCGGAGGTCGGTTGCCGCCCAGGAGGCACCGCCGATGTCTGCAGGAGCTGACCAATACTGTCTGGGCTGGTGTCACTACCTCACTGGGAGGCCTGTGTGTGGCGTGTGGGTGGGGTCCGCTTCGGAGATGCCCTAATGGGGCCTCGGCAGGGCAGGTCGATCCCTGTGTGGAGAACTTGGCCGACCCCCTGGGACCGCTGTCAGCAGAAAGGGGGTTGTGACTAGACCCCATACTGGCTGCTCAGGACCTGAGTGGCCACTCAGCGAAATGCTGTTGAAAGTCCACGCGGACCCCGAGCCCCCAATTCACAGGGAACCAAACTCCATCCTCCTGGTGGGGACACGGTGGAGACGAGGCTGTGAGATTCCCACTTCCCCTGGATTCCAGCGGGGCAGCTGCACCGCAGTGAGGGTCCCTCCCCTTGAAACCTGTAGAGGCCACCGCAGCCAGCAAGCATTGGACGACCCCACTTCCCTGCTGCTCAACGGTCTGGGGAGGTCCCGGCCTTGGCTGTCACCCTGCTTACCATCCAGGACCCTTCATGGTGACTCCCTGGGTTCATGGGGCATGGCGCTGTGTCCCCAAACTGTCTTTTTGGGCCCCACGTGGCAGTGCTGATGTCATAGGCATGTGACCCAACCCCAGGGGCCCCTCTAGAAAGGTTGAAGGTGCCAGGCTGGGACGTGCAGAGGGGAGGGTCAGCGAGGGCTTCCAGAGCAGCCGCAGCCCCGAGATGCCGGGATCTCAGGGTCCTCTCTGCTCCTATAACCACACCACCCTCCTCTCCCCCCGGCCCAGGGCCCCTCAGGGCTCCGTGTCAATCATGATAGCAGTGAGAGCAGCAGTACCAGCCGCGTCTGCAGAGCTGCCCCTGGGTGCCAGCCTCTGATCCAGCCAACCCAACCCACCCAGTGATGGAGGACGATGCTGGGATCCGGGAGGCTAAGGGAGAGAGACGGGATGGGTCAGGAGGTAGACCCTCCATCCCTGGGAGCCGTCCTCCCAGTGGGTGGGCCGGCTTGTTGAGACGGCAACTCTGTCCACAGTGCCCGCCCGTCCACATCTGGGCCTCCTGCAACCCAGGCCCCGGGCAGCTGCACTGGGCAGAGGCAGCTGTGAGCACACACCGCCATCTGGTGGGCAGATGGCAGATCGCCGTGGACGGCGCCAGCTCAGCCCCACTGCGGCTGGGATGGGGGGCTCCAGGCGCTCCCCCAGGCTCCTGGCGGTGAACCCCAGGCAGCAAGCGGCCAGGGCAACCAGTAGCCCTGAGGAGCATTTAACCAGGCAGAGCCCCAAGATGCGACAGCTCTCATGCAATTGGCCAGGAAGGCGTTCGATGGTTTAGAAAATACCCCCTTCTCTCTGCCTCAGTCTCTATCTGCTCTCTTCTGGCCAGTGGGCAATGAGCAGGAGAGGCTCAGGGCCAGGCTCCTGGGGAGTCTGGATGGAGGGGAAGCAGCTGCAAACCCCGGGGCCCTGGAGAATAATGACACCCAGGCCCAAGAGCTCAGCAGGGCTTCACCCACACAGCTGGCCCGGCAGCCCCAGCTGTCCTTCCTTCCCAACTCCAAGAGACGGAAGTCACAACAGGGACGGGGAGGGGGAGGGGACCTCCGGACGGTGTGGAGCAGGAGTCTCTGCCTGTCTTGGAGCCAGCACCGCTGTGAGGGAAGATGCAAGCCCGGCACATGCCTCTGACAAGCGGCCAGTCGGGAGTCACACTGACCCCACAGAATTCTGCATTTGGCTTAAGGTGACTTGAAGCACATTGCAGGGGAGAATTTCTGCCTGTGTGTCCCCGTGAACAAAAGGTGGGGATGGCCGGGTTCTGCCTCTGCGTCCCTGTGAACAAAAGGTGGGGATGGCCGGGTTCTGCCTGTGTGTCCCCGTGAACAAAAGGTGGGGATGGCCGGGTTCTGCCTGTGTGTCCCCGTGAACAAAAGGTGGGGATGGCCGGGCTCTCCCTCTGTGTCCCTGTGAACAAAAGGTGGGGATGGCCAGGTTCTGCCTGTGTGTCCCTGTGAACAAAAGGTGGGGATGGCCGGGTTCTGCCTCTGCGTCCCTGTGAACAAAAGGTGGGGATGGCCGGGTTCTGCCTCTGCGTCCCCGTGAACAAAAGGTGGGGATGGCCGGGTTCTGCCTCTGCGTCCCCGTGAACAAAAGGTGGGGGTGGCCGGGTTCTCTCTCTGTGTCCCTGTGAACAAAAAGTGGGGATGGCCAGGTTCTGCCTCTGCGTCCCTGTGAACAAAAGGTGGGGATGGCCGGGTTCTGCCTCTGCGTCCCTGTGAACGAAAGGTGGGGGTGGCCGGGTTCTCCCTCTGCGTCCCTGTGAACGAAAGGTGGGGGTGGCCGGGTTCTCCCTCTGTGTCCCTGTGAATGAAAGGTGGGGATGGCCAGGTTCTGCCTCGGGGATGGCCGGGTTCTGCCTCTGCGTCCCCATGAACAAAAGGTGGGGATGGCCGGGTTCTGCCTCTGTGTCCCCGTGAATGAAAGGTGAGGATGGCTGGGTTCTCTGAGATGTTGGGGGGCAGAAGATAAACAAGGGGAATTGTGGTCCTAAATTCCAGAAATCAGAGAATCCCATCATTCCATTGCAAGCCCTACCCCTCATCTCTGGGTCCCCTTCCAAGACTCTGGGAGGCCAAGGCAGAGGCCCTACTAGACCTAACAGACCAGCCCCCAGCACTGACCGGCCACTGGCATTTACCAGCACTGACCAGCGCTAAGCAGCCCGTGGCACTGAGCCGCCCTTGCCGCCACTGCTGACCACCCTGGGTCTGCTCCTCCTGGGGCTGGGGGAGGGTTCCCATGGCACTTATTAGACAGACACATCTCTGCTTTTCCAGTGGCTGAGCACAGGCTACTGCAGACTTACGTGTCTCCCAGAGACGAGCCATTGTCTATCCTTGGTTCCAGGGGACCTCAGGCAGGCCCCAGGCCCCAGATCATGGGCAAGGCAACAGCATCTCTTGAGGATTATGCAGATATGTCTAGTTCTCAGCCAGTATCCACAGCACTTCCCCGTCTAACAGAGGCCGGGAGACGATCTGCAGTCTGCTGCACTGGTCAGGCCGGCGGGGTGACAAGCCAGTGGGTGGATGATGGACGGATGGCCCTGGCAGGGAGGCTGTCCATCCACCCTGGTGTGGCTTTTCCAGGTGACAGGGTCACATGGTCATGGGGAAGAGGTGTCCATTAATACTCGGGGTTAGGATGGCCCTTGCTGTGTCCTCCTGGACAGGAGGGTACGGGCTAGAGCCCCAGGACACTGTCCATGCCTCACCGTGGGATAGAGCGGGCAGAGGGGCCAGCAGGATAGTGAAGGCCAGCCACGCTGCCACACATGCCACCAGGCTATTTTTACCAAGCCTAATCAAGAACAATCAGCAGAAGCTATGGAGATCCAGGGGATTTGCGTGATCCAATTCTGAGTCCTAAATGTTAATTAAAAGTTATTTTCCCTTCACTGGCTCTGAGCACGGCTGCATGGCCCACGTGAGGCTGAGTGGGGACCCTCGGCCTTCAGCACTGTCTCAGGTGAGCTAGGAACTGGTGGCCACAAAGGACACAAGCTTCAGACCCTGCCCCAAGGCCTATTACACACCCACAGGTCCTGGAGTGAAGGTCTCAGGGACAGTCCCAGCCAGCACAGAGTGACACTGGAGACCTGGCATAGCAGGCCTTCCTCCAGCCCATCCCTCCCCGCCCACGCACACACCCACAGGGAGGGCCCCGGGAGTCAGGAAGCCCAGCACTGACCCTCCTCTTGGTCTTTGCCAGCTGTGTAGCCAAGGGCGGATAGTCCAACCTCTCTGAGCAGCAGAATTTCATCCCGCCTAGAATTAATCCCATCTCCAGGTGTCGTCGGGAGCACTGCTGATCTGTTTGAAAGTTTAACACTTCGGTGATATAAATTTGCTCTAAAATGCCACGGTGGTGCCCCAGACCCCCATCCCAGGGGCACAGAGCTGGGCAGTGAGCAGATGGGGCTCCAGCTTTAACAGACCTGGCATCCTGACCCGTCTCGGCCTTTCACAGGTGAGGGGCTTGCAGCAACGTCACCAAAACCTTCCCAGCCCAGTTTCCGCAGCTGTTAGAAGAGGGAGGTGGAAATGATCAAGGTATATCATTGTTGTAGTTTAAAATGCATACATGATAAGACACATTTTGCTTTTACCGAATGTTTTTTGTGAAGGATCGATTCCCCATCCCAAGGCAAGCGTGAATAATACCAGGCTACATATTTGTTAAATAAAGAGGGAAGGGAGCGGTGGTGGCTCCCCGCAGGGTCTGCGAGGGCAGGCTGAGCGGATGCCCAGCGCCCAGGGGGCGCCTGGCTGGCACAGTTGATGTGTAAATACAGATTGTTCTCTCAACAGGGTTAAAAATGGCTTTGCCAGGCAGGGCGCAATGGCTCCCACCTGTAATCCCAGCACTTTGCTAGGCCGAGGTGGGCGGATCACATGGTCAGGAGGTCGAGAGCAGCCTGGCCAACATGGTGAAACCCCATCTCTACTAAAAATACAAAAATTAGCTGACATGGTGATGGGTGCCTATAATCCCAGCTACTCAGGAGGCTGAGGCAGGAGAATCTTTTGAACCTAGGTGGCAGAGGTTGCAGTGAGGGAAGATCAGGCCACTGCACCCCAGCCTGGGCGACAGTGAAACTCCATCAAAAAGGGGGGGCTTTGCCAGAGGCAGGGGTGTCAGCTGAATTCAGGAGCCCTGGGGTCTGTGGCTCTGTGGCCCCCACGTTGCTGAGATCCTTCTGGAAGCTCCTGC